AGGTAAGCTTTCAAAACATACGGCATCCAAGTGTCCCATGAACATAGCCACCATAAATATAATAAAGTATACAGCGATTGTGGAGGCTAGACAGGTACAGATCAAAGCCCACACGCATTGAGAGGAGAGACTAAGGCATTTGAAACCATTTTTGGAGTGGGCTGTCCACAAAGTCTGTGCCTGTACCAGGCAAGTGTCTGGTTAAATGAACGGAATTTAGTGCCCGTTTGACTCATATGTGAAAGCTCGGCTCTCCTGTTCCTTTCCAGAAGACTCGGGTCTTACATCTGTTTCGCCTCCTTTGATCCTTGCCCCACTGCTTGCGGGGAAGGTGCTTAAGGTCTCCTCCAGAAGCAGACAGGGTATAAATCTTCAATCTTGCAACTGTAATGAACAGTTCAGCCATAGGCTCCCCTCTGACCTCAGGCGGTTTCCTCCATTACAGCCAGACAGTCCCCTGGGCAATTCAGCCTGGCCTTGCCTATCAGTGCCCCTCTACGTCTGCATCAGATGGCATTTCCAGACCCAGGAGCCTCCTCTGCTCACAGAGCTGACAAACCAGCCATCAGAGAAGGAAGCCATGCTCCCAAAGCCCTTGGTGCCGCTGGTGGGGGAACTGCTGTTACAGCACAGAAACAAGGACCTGTCGGGAGAATGAACAGCACTTGAAAACTAATCCTGTGCCCCTGGGCCTCTGGCCTTCCAGGAAGGTGACTCTTGGGCTTCCAGGGCCCCCACCAGTCTTGGGTGCCTCCAGGCTGTCCCCATGTCCCACAAGCAGGTCTCAAAATGGCCCAGGAACAGACTTCATTGACAGGAAATGAAGCCCTTTAAATCTGAACATTTTGGCAAAGGGAATTGTGGGTGTTTGTGCTTCTCCCTCCCCACTCTTTCTCGTGTGTGGCACTTAGACCAATTAAATACAAAATCATTTTCTGTCATTTAGGCAAATCATATTCCCACGGCTTCAAAATGCACGTTATAAATAAAATATAAACTCATTCAGATCTTATTGAAACTTCTGCTCTCAGAGAACAGTGCTGGAAAAGCCATCATCTGTGTCCCCTTCTGCTACCTGCAAGGCCTGAAGGGTTACTATGGGAACTTCCCCTGGCAGGGGCATGTCCCTCCATAAGCATAAACCTCATAGCACCCTTCAGGAGAACTCCCTTAAAACTATTTATTTATTTCTAGAAATGAAGCTGTCATCTGCTTATCTAAGAATCATCAAACCTTGCAAATCATTTAACTCAAACTTAACACACAAAATAACCAAGGTCCAGAGATGTTAAGTATTTTGTTCATGGTCACTCAGCAGTATCCCAATTTCAGGATAAGAAACTCCAGTTTAGGAAAACTCTTGCCTAAATCTTTCATGGTTCTAAATAGGAGACTGTTGATATAAATGAGTACACCTATGACAAAAATACCCATAATGGATAGTCTTTTTTAAAAATGTAAAATCGAATTCCATGTAACACCTTAGCCTCCCATCCACGTCTGTTAGAGAACTGGTATATGGAAAACTGAGTCCCAAACCCAAACCACAACCACCACAAACGTTCTCCCCAACTTCAAGGCCTGAAGACTCAAGCCTAGCCATCTCTGCTCCGCCTCCTGCTTTGGCTGCTGTCCTGTGCCAGCATGCATCAATGTAGATTCAAGGGACTGTCACCAAATCCACTGTCTTGCCTATAAAGTACAGCATGGAAAAATAAAAAACCTTGCTGCATCATAAGCAGCCATATAGGGATGGAATTACTATCACCCTTTAGTTGTAAAGATTCCAGAACCAAATTTTTCACATCAGAATTTGTGACACATGGGCTGACAGCAGGACAGAATATTAAAAATCAGGACCTCCCTGAGAAATCTGGCCATACTGTTGCCATGCCGACACTCCATAATGCCAAACAAGCGTCTCCAAGGTCCAGAAGCAACTTGGCTGGCTTCGAATAGCCCAGACATTGTGAAAGCAGAGCTGCCTCCTGGTCCAGGCTCGTCTGTAGACCCTCCCTTTCCCAGCTCAGCTCTCTCATTCCCCAGGGGAGTGACGATGACGCTTGTCTGAATTTGCTTAGCCTCTGACAGCATGGCTGGCCACATCATTCTCTAAGAATCTGAAAATCCACATGCAGCATCCTGGCCTGACAGAGAAATCTGAGAAATGTTTCAGAATGGCAAAGACAGTGAGTGGTTACCACGAAGTTCAGGGAGAAAGCAAACGCTTGGCTGCACCTGCCCCTTTTAAGTTAACAAAGGGTTCAACTCCTGGAGAAGCTTGAATATGCATTCCCCTACCTCCTTATTTATGGTCAGGTTGAAGCTGGGAATCAGGGGATGTGAAGCTTGGACCATTCATCGACTGCTCCCAGAAATGGGCAAAAATCCTATTTCACTCCTTTAAGAAGTCTTGCTGTGCATCAGCGTGGGGATGCGCAGCATAGTCCCTGCATGCATAGCTCACATTCACCTAAGAATCACATGGAAGTGAAATGCAAGGCAGTGAGTGTCGATGGCGGTGTGTGACTAGGGGCCAATGCTGGAGGAACAGACATCCAGGACTAACACTTACAAACAGAGAGGGAGCTGGCTGTGCCCCTAAGTGGCTTCCCAGTACTTCCATCCTCCCTTTCTTCCTGCACCTTTGCTTCCCGGCTCCCAGGTATTTCCCTGATACTCCTTCATACTTTAAACTTGGCTTCCAGTTCTCAGCCCTGTTTTTTCTGTAGCAAGTCAAACCCTGTGGGAATAGGGAGGGGCAAGAGGATGTTCGCTGGTACTCCCCACCACCTCTAATTGCCACCCCTCAAGCATGGGCCAGGTCAGGGTCCAGGTTTGTTTTTTGTTGTTTTTTTTTTAAGACAGAGTGTCACTCTGTTGCCTGAGCTAGGGTGCTGTGGCATCAGCCTAGCTCACAGCAACCTCAAACTCCTGGGCTCAAGCAATCCTCCTGCCTCAGCCTCCTGAGTAGCTGGGACTACAGGCATGTGCCACCATGTCTGGCTAATTTTTTCTATATATTTTTAGTTGTCCAGTTCTTTTCTTTCTATTTTTTAGTAGAGATGGGGTCTCGCTCTTGCTCAGGCTGGTCTCGAACTCCTGAGCTCAAACAAGATCCTCCCGCCTCGGCCTCCCAGAGTGCTAGGATTACAGGCGTGAGCCACCGCTCCCAGACCAGCGTTCAGGGTTCTGAAGCAGAGGCTGTGAGCAACAGTTTCCCTGTGCTCTCTTCCCTCCTTTCCTCCTGCCTTCTCCTCCCCTTCCAGCTCACACCCTCCTCCCATCACCTCACCAGAGAGAGGGACAGAGCATCTAGCCAGCCTGCCTCCCCCATGCAGCTCTAGGCTCACCTATCCTGAGACCAGGGCTGGTCCTCTTGAAAAGTAAGACTGGGGCAGCTTGCATTCCTGGAGTGGAAGCTCCCTGGGTCCTGGGGGCCACTACTGATTGGACTAGTGCCAGCTCCAACCTGTCAGTCCACCCTGATCTCAACACTCTGGGGTCTCAGCACAGGAGGTTTTTCTTCATCAGTCTTTCTGTCCACCCATCCACAAGTGCTTTGGAAACAGTGTCCTAGGAACAGGTCCCACAGCTCAGAAGGGAACACACCGCCTAATCAAGCCTGCCCCCAGAGAGTTCATCCAGACGAGGATCTAGGACAAAACTCACAACCCAACCCCTCCCCCACCAGGCCTCCTCAGGTAAAGCCCGTAAATAATGATCCCTTTGCAGGGGACGCGGAATCTGGGGCAGGATGGGAATGAGAGGGCATTCCCCAGTGACCCCATATTCCTGAGGTTCAGAGCTGCCTCCGGGCAAGTATCTCGGATTCTACTCCACACAAACCTCAGCCCTCGTGACCCTGCACCTCCCTGCGACGTTCCTCACCCCTCCTCCTCCTGGCCCAGATCTTTCCACGTCGGAATTGCCACCCTCCCCCACTTCCTTACCTCCGCCCCACTCTTTGCTCTCCTGCTCCTGGTTCTTGTCTGGCCAGGCCGCCCCCACGCAGCAGTCCCTCCCGAGGGGCGCCCAAGGCTCTTGTCCACCACCTAATCCCCGTCGGAAGAACGCGCCCGACCGAGAGCGCTCTCTGCAGGTCCCAGAGCCTCCCACCTCAACAGGTGCCGGCCTCTGCCTGGCCACACAGAGCTGTCACCCGGGGCCCGGGAGAAGGCGGCGACAGGACCGCCCCCTGCAGGGCGTCTGGGGCTCCACACGCCCCCGCCCGGGTCCCCAGAGCGCCAAAGGCCCCAGCAGCTCCGCTAAGGCCCCCACCATACCACACCGCCTTTGTTTCCCCGCTCACTTAGATGTCGCGGGGCTGACCTCATGCGAGGGAATCGCCAAGCTCCAGCGCGACACAGCCTGCCCTCAGTAGTGGTGGACCCTAATGTTAGGGGTAAGGGCGCGTACGCAGAGAACTCTGGGAGGCCGGGGTGTCCGTGCAGAAGAAGCTGGTTCAAGTTGACCTGAGCTCAAAAGGGGACGCGAAGCCAGGCACAGCGCCTAGAGAGCCTTCCCTACCCACGCCCCCACCCGATCTCCTTTGCCCCAGGAGGCAGGAGAGGGGGTGCGCACCGCCACCTACGCGCTCAGCTGCTAGTGGCTCCCACCGTTGGCTAGCTGCGCGCTAGGTCCAGCCGCCTTCCGGGGCCGGCAAGCCGCCAGCAGCCCCCAGGCCCCCGGCCCCGGCGGCGCAGTGCCGGGAGAGCCGCCACGTTCTCAGTCGCGCGCGACCGCCGGGCCCACCAAACTTGCAGCACTTTCTCCCAGCCCCCACCCGCTGTCACCCTCCCATCATCGGGCGCCCTGGCCCCACCAGCCCGGCAGAGGTTGCCATAACAACGGGCAGGAATGCTCCAACATATACAAAGCCGGCCCGGCGCAGCGGGCACTCAGCCCCTAGCCGGGCCCCGCGCCCTCGGCCGCTGCGCGGGGGCAGGACGCGCGCCGCTGCTCCCCCGCCGGCTGCCCGGCGCGCGGGGCGTACTCACAATGAGCGGGATGGTGCGGTCCTCACGGAGCTGCTCCGGCCTCCCGCCGGCCCTCTGCGCGCCCCGGCCGCCGGAGGATGCTGCGTGGGCTCGGTTGTCCTGCCATAAGTAGTAGAAAGTGCCCAGGATCCAGGCTACGGTCAGGATGGCGATGGCATTGGCGCGGATCTTCCTCATGGTGGGCGGACGGGCGCCCTGGGTACGGGCCGGGGCCGGCGAGCTCTTGGGGCCGGGGCGGGGGCGCTCGCAGCCCCAGCTGTTTGTTTTCGCTCCCGCCTGGCTGCTCAGTCCTGCAGAGCAGAAAAAGGAGAGAGGTGGTGGTGGGGGGTGATAGGGAGAGACAGGAGCGCGGAGCGATCCTCACGGTCCTAATGCCCTTCAGCCCCGAGCGCGCGCGTCCCCCGGACGCCCATTCATTCGCGCGCAGAGCCGGTCCCGCGCCCCAGCCGCCGCGGGCCAACAGACCCAGCCGCAGCGCATCGGGAGAAGAGCGCGCCGGGTAGGAAGTGTCGCGGGCCTTCCTCCCGCGCCCAGGAACCCGGGCGAGACAGACGCCCGCGGCGGAATGGCGACTGGCCAGAGCCAGCCTCGGCTCCCTCCGCTCGGTGACCGAACGCCCAGCGGCTGCCCCCAGCGGCTGTCCCGCCTACCCACACCCACCCCCAGACCGGGCGGCCCTGAGTCACCGACTAGAGATGCGCGACCCCAGACCTGGGCCCGCGCCGCGGCGCTGCAGTTCCGGGCTGCGCTCTGAACTGCGCTCTGGCGCGGGGTTCAAGGTGTGTTCCGCGAGTCCTTGGGAAGCAACGGCTGGGCAGGGAAGAGTCCTGAGTTTGCACTGGAATTCTCCGCAGCCTAGGATTCCGCGCTGCCCCACAGCCCGCCCCAGGGAGGGATTGGAAGCTGGTGCACTGGACATTACGGGAGGGCGAAGAGGAAGCGACGCTGCCTCACACCCAGTGCAAGGAGAAAGGGGGATACAAGCATCCCACATCTTTCACTGGCCTGGGGCTCCCAGATTTCTTGACGTTTCCCTCCACTCCGCCTCATTGTCCCCTGGACAACCCTGAGGTATCATCATCACCATTATTTCATCAGAAAGAAGGGAGGCTAGAGAGGCTAAACGATTCTCCTGAGGCCACAGGGCTAATTAGTGGGCAGAGCCCAGTTGAGAAGCCATCTCCCCATCTGACACTTTTTGACAAAGTGCAAAACATGGTGGTAAGAGCTGAGGACACAAACATCCTTGAGATTCCCCCCAGCCCTGGAGGCATTGAGAATCAGGTGTGAACTACTCCCACTCCAGGCAGAAGGCAAGGTGGGCTAGATTAGTTTTAGGTGAATAATGGTAAAGTAAGGATCACAAAGAAAAAAATAATTCATGCAAAGTGGTCTTTGGGAAGGTGTCTCAGAGAAGGTGGATAAATCCTTTGGATAAATCCTTAAGAGGCAGGGAAGAGAGAAGGGAGGGGTGAGGACTGCATGAATAGCTCATGCCCAGGTCCCGCTGGTAGAAGTACTTGATGTGTTCAAGGGAGAGAGCTGCCAGGCATCGCTGGGGGTCCATATGCTGGGAAGGATTTGGTGAGAGTTGAGGTTGGCCAGGCTGGGTGAGTCTGGACTTAGGAGGGCCTTGAATGCCAGGGGCAGAGTTGGCAGGCAGTTTGCTTCCTGTTAGTGCTGCTGGACACCTCGGCTCCTCTGAAGACCCAGATAGGGTCAGCCCTCTAAATGAGTCACCTGCGGAATCGGGCATACTGAGGTTACAGCATCATGCCCTCCCCCAACTACCCTGTTGGCACCACCCTGAGGCACAGAAGAGAAATAACGTGGTGTTTCTCCATTTCTCCAGCACTTGGGACTGAACCACACACATAATAGATGTTCGATACATTTATGTTGAAACGAGGTAAAGAAAACCCTAGTTGACTTTTTGCTACAGAAAACCCAGGGTCATCACTGCAACTATGATACCCTCACACAGCAGACTAATCATGAGGACCCTTAGACAAGTCCAAAAATGGCCCAACCAGGAATGTGACCTTAAAAAAAGAGAGAATGTGGCCGGACGTGGTGGCTCACGCCTGTAATCCTAGCTCTCTGGGAGGCAGAGGCGGGCGGATTGTTTGAGCTCAGGAGTTCGAAATCAGCCTGAGCAAGAGCGAGACCCCGTCTCTACTAAAATTAGAAAGAAATTAATTGGACAACTAAAAATATATAGAAAAAATT